AGTTTAATTCATGCATTACTGTACACATCCATCATTGATTTTTCCTAATGGAAATAGAGGTGAACAAGGGTGAAGTAAAATAAATAAATAAAATGTACAAATTGAATACATAAAGTTTGCTCCCTGTCCATCCAGATCCTATAGGATTTGGTTGAATGCTTTATAAAAGGAATATTCCAGGATCAATACACGTTAAGCTCAGTCAACAGCATTTGTGGGATAATGTTAATTACCACAAATTATTTTTACTTGTCCCTTGATGTTTTTCCTTTTTCTTTTTTTTGAAAAGCAAAAATCAAGGTTATGGTGAGGCACCAGTGAAGCATCCTGAAAGTGAATGGGGCCAATGTTTGAGGAGCAGAATTTTTAAAAGCAGAAATGCAATGCTTTTATTTTATAAAAGCACTTACATTAATTCCTCTAACAAAACTTGTGCATTATTTGAGCTATAAAACTGTTTAATTCATATTTACAGTAATTTTTTGATTCCATTGCATTCCATTGTCATGGTGACAGATTTGTAAAATTGCATAAGTAAAAATGTGCCCCCCCACCCCACATTAAAACCGTTAACAGATCTTGTTGACATCTCATGGCTATAGGCCTACTATTGAATTATTTTTACAGATGAAACCAATTCACTTCCATTGTGAATGTCTCTGTAACACAGGTTTTCATTTTTTGTAAAGAAAAAAACAAAGTGGAAATTAATTGTTAATCAACATTAAGTCAAATGCTGTTAATTGAGGTTTAACCTTAAGAACCTGGAATATTCCTTTAAAGGGGTCATAACACACACAGTTTCTGCCAATCATGTCAATCTTGAGTACCTATAGAGTTGTATTGCATCCTTCATATCTCCGAAGAGTCATTGTTTATGAGATTTATAAAAGACAGATACAGCTTTACGCTTCTCTCTGAAAACAGTCGAGCTCCTGGAGGTGTGTCGTGGGCGGAGCTAAAGATCAACGAGCATGCGAAGCTTATAGCGATCGTCTGCAAGCTGTGACATCGACATAAATAAAACAAGAACAAAAACTTTACTGACTTAAATTTTATTCAATTTGTTTATAAAACATTCGTCACCAAAATGTCGGGAACAAACAAACATTTGCACAACTCTGTTGCTGCCCTGGAGAAACAATCTGCATCCACTGTTCCCTTAACGCTGAGTTCTTTGGGAAGCTGAACAAGCTTATCTTTCCCTCACAACCAAAAACAGGGCCATACTTGAAAAAAAACTTTCTGAAATGTATATTGGCACAGAAATACTCCATACGTCCAAATTTATTTGATTTTTTTTACATTTTGGCCATGTTTACCATGAGAATCCAACTCTTTAACAGTGTAAATAAGTCAGTATGCATGAAATAGCATTAGACCTCCCCTTTAAATGTCTAAAACACATGTTTATGATGTTTAACAACAACAAAACTTTTTAATATTCAAAAATACACACACAAAAAAAGCTGGCAGTTTATCCCTCTAGAGTCTAGATGATCAAGGCCATAACGTGCAAAATTATCATGCAACACTATGCAACAGCACCTTGCTCTCCACATGCACATAATCTAATCCCACTAAGGCGTCTGGTTCTGTTCTGCAGCTGCGTCTTGTTTTTCATTGATGTCAACGGCCATTCATTGCCTTCGTTTTCTGTGCGCCTCTAAACCACCTTTTAATCATTACCTAATTATTTAGATCTAGATTTGCTGCCGGCGCTGAGAAGCAACTTGCTGAGTTGCAGCCCTGAAGGGTCTGATTGGAACAGAAGGGTTGAGGGTGCAATGCTCTCTGTAAACTGCTCCCTTAAAGCATGTCTGTGTAAAGCCTTCCTCTCTGACGGCTGATGTCTGTCACCTTTTGACACACTGAAGCCCCTTCATACATTTAAAAAAGGCACATGAAACGCAAAAGTAAGGGGAGGCATGAAAGGACGACTAGCGCAGCAAACATAAAAGGTATGATTTTAAAGGGCCTTTTAGCAAGAGAAGCTTGAAGCTGATGCAAAAAAATAAAACATTAGGCTATATGCAATATATTGCATTTATCAGTTATAACTTCACATGCAATATATTGCACAGTCACAGAGAGGAATGGAGCGTGAACAAAGGCCTTTAAATGATTATTCATAAAACGTCATGTCACCTTTAAATTTAACACCTGCATGTTAAGAGAACCCATTGGAAAATCCACAGCAGGTAAATGGCTCACTTTAAACCATTCAAGAGGCATTAGAGAGTTATTAACGTGCGTTAATTCCAACATGGTGGATGGTTTTTATGAATATGGCCCTGGGTGACTTATGAGTTTAAAGGGATAGTTCACACAAAAATGAAAACGCCGTCATCATTACTCACCCTCATGTTGCTTCTAACCTGTATGACTTCCTTTCTTCCACAAACCACAAAACGGAGAAGGGTATAACTGCAGGCTGGAGATCTCCAAATGGGGGCGGGAACTCCAAAACTGGGTGGGAGCTCCAAAATAGGGCGTGGCTTCCTCCCATTGACAGACAGGCACATGACACGCATGCGCAATTTTTTCCCCAATCCACTTCAGTGCAAACTCCGCCCCACAGCTGATTCTAAAGATTTTATTGGTTGTGTCAATTAAAGTGTTGATTTCCTACATTATGCTACAAAAAATGCTAACCCCTAAACCTACCCCACACCTGACCCTAACCTTAGCCAGTGAAATTGACTGCACAGCGGGATTGGCACTGAATAGCGTCGTAAAGAAAGTTGCAGTTCAGGAGATAAACAGTTAATAAGATTATGCGATATGAGATCGTTCCGTAACTCCCCAACCGGACCTCACCGGACAATGGCACCTTTTTAGTTACACCCAGCATCACTACCCCCTCCTACCCTGCGAATTTCGAGCCCCGGGACGCCCCCGCTGCTTAGAACAAAGAGATAGAGTAAAATCTTTCCCCTGCGCTGCGCTGGGACGGCTCGCGGGAGAGCTCGTGGGTGATTCCCGTTTATATCATTAAGCAGAGGTTCAAACTCCAGTCTGAACACCACTGGCCACGAGCTTTGGGCTCTGATCTCACAGAGAATATTTACTTATATAGCATATTTTATTTTAGAGTAACTAGAAACAATGTTTAATTTATAAAGTTTTATTTTGAAATGTAAGTCAATAACAATTGGCTGGAGCCAGAGCCAATGGTGAAAGTCTTTGCGAGAGGAGACCCCGCCTCATTTTGGAGGTTCTGCCCACTTTTGGAGTTGGAGTTTTTGGAGTTTTGGAGCCCCATTTTGGAGATCTCCGGTCTGCAGTTATATCTACTTGACAAAACGAGATGTTAGTCAGAATGACAGCCTCAGTCACTGTTTACTTTCACTGCATATTTTTTATCATGCAATGAAAGTAAATGACTGAAGTTGTCGTTTCTGCCTAACACAAACTGTTTCAGCTCTGAGGAGCTCCATGAACTGAAAAATTTAAATGTTCTAGTACTCAACAAGATGAAAGAAAACTGGTTTACAAACATACATGTCATGATTGTGTTATGCAGCCATTTTGGCCCAACGATACCTGGCTTGCAATGTGAAATGTCTCCCTCAAAGCTTGTGTTCAAATAAATTTATTTATGTGATGTGTCATGGCTTACGTTGCCAAGGGAACGTATATGATAATGAAAGCACTTTTTTGCTCTCTTATATATATATATATATATATATATATACACACACACTGGATGGAGCCTGAGCTCTCTGTAAAAAGCCTAATCATTCTCTTCCAATATGACAGCATGACAAACTCTGGATCATCTGATCACCCACTTTTTACACTATAAACTTCCAACTTAACCTACAATCCTTTTACTTCTGAAATGACATAGCAATAATATATCATCAGCAGCATTTACTATTACTACCTAACAAAACACATAGATATAAGGTAGAGCTTTATTCCTCTGTAAATAAAATACAGCATGAGAAATCTGTGTGAAGAATCGCACCCTGTTCCTTCAGCAACAGATGCCCAAGTCATCACCACTCATGTCACACACACACACACACACACACACACACTATCAGAGCGCATAGCACATGCCTATGGGCTAATTTTCTCCCAGCTGAACCACCGCGACAACACATCAGCATTTAAACCCTTCGTTTCATGTGTCACAGATAACAGCAGTGGATCTTCATTCACTGCGCTTAATCTGTTTGTTTCTTGTTCGCGAGCGGTGGAGCTCGCGCAGACAAGCCACGCGCGCTTTAGTGATTTATCACAGCCAGGCCACACGGCGCCTTCGTATTTATACCCATAAATTTGGACAAAGCGTCTTCCAAAGTGAAACTGCTCAATCATTTTCAAAAATACAACTGTAATCCAAAGTTTAAAAGTAACAGATTTAGTGGTTGCCACACTGGTTACTGGTAAACCAAGAAACAGCGTGACAAGTAAACTAAAGAAATTGCGCATTGGTGAGCATCCTCGGTTCTACATTCTGACAAATACGCATTAAGAGGCCGATATTTACGTGTTACGTAGAAAAGTCTAAGATTATTGCACACATAACCAGCACTGACTAAAACAGTCAGTGACTGCACTGACTATTCGCCAGTGTGTTTAAAACGAATAACCCCTCATTCCGCGTCTTGTCATCAGCAGTCCTATATCCTAAAGTAATCCATCCATAATGTATGACTCTAGGTCACTCCATATTGGTGAAAGGTGTCTCGACAGCACAAATTCATTCGTTTACATCGACGCCCGGACACACACGCAAGCGCGCACCCGCGTTCAACTGGACACATACTGTCGCATTAATTCCCTTGTACTCATATACATCATAAAACAAGGTTTGCGTTATTACACTCGTTAACACAAATGGCAAATAAGAGAAAATACAAAATTAGCCTTATTAAACGCAGCTGTTTATGAAGGCTATTCATGCATACATTTCCAAGACTTCCGAACATACGTACAACATGTTTGTTTTACAAGTAGCTAGTAATACTATATTTATCCAGCCTTACCTCGTCTATTCTTCCTTTGTTTGTTTTTTAAATCTAAATATATCCTTCAGAAGCTCCGGTGCGGAGTCGAAGTCTCCTCTCGCCTGTCTTTCTCCGTCTCCCTAGCGCGCTCTCTCTCTCTCTCTCTGTTCAACCCTCTCGCTCTCTCTCTCTCTTAAATTGATTCACCCTTTTGCAGAGCTGGAAGCACAGCACTGACTGCCTGTGAGTGGTGGGTCAGATGGAAAAATACACTCAGGAAGACATAACAGCCAACTTTACCAGAGTACATATTAATGAGTACAACATGTAGTGTGGTTAAAAACCCGTGAGATGAATTAATTATTATTAGCCTGAATCAAATGGCACAACTGAGATGGTAAAATAACGCTTAAATCGCAAAAACCGACCACTCACAAGTGTACTCTCGTTAGTCAGTCAAACCTAAATGCGGAACCGTGAACCGAAGACTTTATAAACTGCATACGATCCTTAAATGTACTGTAAAAGCAAAGTTGGTGGTTCTAGATCTTCAGACAAACCCAAAACACGCCCTCTGTTAATACAGCAATTATATTAACCTGTCAATCAGAAACAAAACAAGCTATGCGCATGTCAGGTGTTTAGGTCTAGGTTCTCTTTAGCGATGTAAAGCTTTACCTCTGGTCTTTCTGTATATTCCGTTTTGAACGTTTTACTGTGAAAGCTGTTGACAGTTGAGAAATCGCGAATATTTTGTGCATACAAATTACAAAAAATATGCTCCATGTTCACGTGCCACGCTCTCAGCTTCCGGATTCCCATATATGGAGTTCCCGCTGTGAAAGCGTAAAAATGACTGAGAGACAAAGCCCCGAAAGCTCATCAAAAAGCCTTCTGATTGGCTAAACAAGCAGAGCTGACCAATGAAATCTTTAGAATCGTCTGGGAGGCGGGGTTTGCACTTAACTGGTTTGGGGAACAAATCAGTGTTTGGTTGTGCCCAGAGAGAGGAGTATTTTCAGGGTGATAGCATTTTCTCACACCATGATTTGAAATTGGAGCGGGTTTATAGCCTATCACTAGTGAGCAGAGGGAATGGGAAACTAAAAATGGACTGAAACTAAAAATAATCTGGAGTGATTACAGAACGCCTTAAGTGGGATGAAAAAGATTACTGTTCAGTGTTGCCAAGTCCATGGTTTTCCCGCGGAATTGGTCTAGGCTACTTTTATACTGTTGCTGCGTTTATTATTATTATTATATACCAAGATGGTACTCCCCAGAAAGATGTTTTTACCCCACCCCCACCAGAAAGTGATTTTAAAGAGATTTTAGTAGTCAATTTCCCCTGCAACCCAGTTGGACTAGTTTTGACCATGATTGGGCTAGTTTTGTTATGCAGACCTGGCAACCCAGTTACTGTTGCTCTACCTCCACTCACAACCCTCCAGTATGTGTGTTGCTTGAGATTGATGCATTGGCCTCTTTTAAAACTATTTTCGTCGGTCTCGCCAAATTTAGTTTGAAATGTAAGTCACTATTAACTTCCTGTTAATTGAACTATTTGTTGTACAAACAATTTTAAACGTGTTGTTGTTCTCATCCCTGCTGCCGAATCACTCGCTCATGTGAATAAGCCAAAGTCATAAGAGAGATAACTATGTGAATCTCTTATCTACAGGGACAATTACTTATTTCATGAGCAATGGCGCAAGTGAATGTCAGACCGTATTTCATGCGCGTCACATCAGAATTACGCTCAGGACATCTGACATCTGTCCTTTTATCGACACGAGGCAGGCCTGGTTGTATTAATGTGCTTTCGCGCTACAATAATGCGCTCTCGACATTTGTCATTAAAATAACGCCATAGGGTAATGCATAAGAAATCCCTGCTCAGCTTCACACGTTGTGTATTTGTGTAGGAGTGATATGTGTGTGTGTGTGTGTGTGTGTGTGTGTGTGTGCCTGTGCATGCGTGTGTGAGGTACAGAACGCATGTGCGAGGCCACAGCACGCGCGCGCTCCGCTTTGGATGTTACGTTGGCATAGCAACGCCGAGTCGCATACAGTAGCCGAATCCGCGAGCGCCCAGCATCTGGCTTTAAACGCCTCCAACGCGCACCTTTTCTTACCGATTTACAGCGAGGTTGCGCAGAAGATCGCGATAAATAATTGTGAAGGATATCGCTCGATACATGGGGGCGTGACAATTTGAGTTGGTGCTTGGAGGAATTGGGGGCTAAATGAGGTGTGAGAGGAGGAGGGAGAGGTCAGTGGAGGAGCGACGGAGAGAGAGAGAGAGAGGGATGAGGGATATCAGATGGCTGATTAGCACTGAATTGATAACATTCTAAATGCAGACACGAGGAATCAGTCACTGCCTCACTCTCTATCCACTTTTAACTCTTCACATCCGACTCTGCGGATAGTAGGCTACGTTCGTTGCTCGCAATAAACGTCTGAGAGATGAGATTGCGGCTGACTTTACCCCTCTCTCTCTTTTTTTCTCAAGACGGATATGGAACACAGCTGCTGTGTCTTTCAGCCTAAAATGATATTCACATTCGGCTATACGGCACATTCGGCTTCCTCGGAGGGGCTCGTACGGTCCAGTGGCCAATCCCGGCACCCTCGGAATCAGCGTGCCCCCGAACGAACTCCCTTCACCTCACTTTCATCCTCCCCTCCTCCGACTCTCTCTGCGGCGCACTCGCTCCACTGACATCACATCTATACCGTTAGCTCCCTGGCTCTCTTTGAATACCCCCGCCCCCTTCCTTTCCTGCCTTTTGCCCCCGAACTGCGCTCTATGCAGTAGTAGAGGAGGCATTGTTCACAGCCCATAGCTCAACCTACATTTCCTCTCTCCCACAGATACCCTCCTATGTTGAAATCTTTCTGGATCTCTGTATGTCTCCCTGTTGACTGCTCTCTCTCCAAGTCAAAGCCCTCAATCTCCATTGATTAAGACTGCAAGCTGTCCCCCTCCTCATTTACAATCGCCTCATCTCTTCCGCTTTCACCCCAATTAAAACAAAACCTTTCTCTAATTTAGTTCCCCCCCCACACACTCACTCACTCACTCACTCACTCACACTTATCCGGCATGGCAATCGTGTACAATGCACAGTGTGTGTATTTTGACCATGTGGGCTGTGCTTTCTTGGTCATTCTTCTCCCTCTTTCGGTCTCCCTCGCGGGGCAGCTGAGATGTGACTGATTATGTGGACTGGACACCACAGGCCATTACATGAACAGTGATGCGGGCCGGCTGGAGGATTAATGCAGTTCACATGATGAAGATAGAGCGGGCACGCTGAACACTATAGGCCCTGTGTGTGTGATTACCACCCTTCACGGGGGGCTAAGTCTCTTAAAATATCAGATAATTTGACCTTTTTATGACAAGGCAAAGTTATTAAATTTTATGGTGTGAATCCCCCAAAACATAATGATTGATTATTTTTGGAAATGAAAAAAAAAAGAAAGAAAAAAAAAAATTTTGTACTCAGCATGTAAGGAAAACGCAATAAGTTCATTAACTTTTCCTTGAAAATATAAATGATTCATTTAAAATGAAAAGAAAATATAAATGATTTTTTTTCAAAACCATGCAAACCCAACATGAAGGACTTTTCTTTTAAACTAGATTTTGAAAAGTGTCTTCCTTTTCTTTATTGCGAACTTGTGAAGTGCAAAGTAAAGTGTTTCCTACTACTGTAGATCTCCAGAAGCCACTCGTGTTCTGGTGTCTGAGCGTGTCTAATGTAAAATCTGTGCCTCTGTTTTTGTAACACTTTTTTTTTGTACACAGGTCCACCAGACATGTGGAAAGCGCTGCTTCCTCTCTGCTGCATTAAACCATGTCAGCAAATTTAGTCACATCAAAATTGGCTATTCTCAAGGGCATGTCAGAATATATCTAATGCAGTAAGTAATTCATGCTGTGTGCCATGTTCGTGTCAAACCCTGTGTTGTCCTCTCCGAATGACAGAAGGGTGGGGCTACTGTTCTTTGCATGCCTTTTTGAAAGGTAGCAATACAAAACAATAATATGCAACATGATGTGTGATGTACCCATGTGTGACACTCCATGGGCCATCTTGCGGTTACTTGCAATTGCATTAAAGTTTAACTACTGTATTAGCACAAAGCACACTTTCACTGTTAACTGCATAATGTTCGTACTTTGCTTGGTGCTGATTGCTGAGATGTTTTGAGCGCTGCAATGCTTTACTAGCTTTAGTGAACACGGTGCGTTTCACGCCACGCTTCGGAATTAATGCTTGCTGCCGTGTCCTCACCTGCAGAGTGAAATACTCCCAAACCACTTGTGTGGGACGACACGGTGCTCTCGGGATGTGTTTCTGCTCAGTTTTGCTGTGCCTGCTGACTGTTTTTGTCATGCGAGTCAATGACGTGATGCTCTGTTAAAATTAGTTCAAAACTACATTCAAACTGCAATTCACACATAGAGTGAAAAATGTCAGGATGATACTGACCTGATACTATTTTTTCTTATATAAACAAAACTGCTTATCTTTATCTGAGATGTTTGTATGTACAGATGCATGTGTTTCCTGTGACAGCAAATATTTTCTGAATGAAACCTTAGCATTGCAGGAGTGATTTAAATCTAAAGCTGGACTGCACTTCCTGATCATGGACTAACAAATCTATACACCAGCATTAAGCCATACATTATTCATTTTTGTCTTGTTTTGTTGTGATCTCAATTAAACGTTTTGTTTTTACCCTTTTCAAACTCTCGATTTAAAATTAGTTTTCTCTTGGTGCAGCAATACCAAAAGCCAGTTCTAAACACAATATACAGAATATGCACTCGTATGTCCAAGATCATAAGAAAACAATAATGCACAGTTGTGCAATATTTCCAGTTGTGGTAAACAGCTTATGTTACTACGGTCCTATCCCAGAATTCCAGTACTTTGTGTTTCTCTATACTCATGATTTTGATGAAGATCAATGATATTTTATGGCCAATGCAGAAAAACAATAAATTCTCATGGGTTTACATACTTTTTCATGCCCTGTGCATATTTATATTTTTATAATTATATTTAATTATTTATAAAACTTCAGATTTAAATATAT